CTTCTTCTTTCTTTAATATAGTTTGCTCTGGCTCAGCTGGTTCACAAGCCACTGCTTCTTGTGTCTGTTCCTGTCTGTAAAATGAGGGTAGTGATCCAGCCATCTAAAATAGTACAATACTGTAGAACATCTTCATTTTGGTATTATTTTCTGCCTCTGCTGCTTAACTGCTTTGCCAAATGGTTGCTTGGCTTTGGTGTTCCATGTATGCATTTTAGCACCCTGACTGCAGGATAACCTTAATGATGCCCTGCCATCACTAGCTGCTTGCAGAAACAAGGTCTAGCACGATGCCTGAGAGTCAGGTAAGTATTAGGCCTGAGTTACTAATGTGGAAACAAATAGAGAGAGTAGTCTAGTGTTGGTCTGGAAATCTAGTTCAGAGGCAGAAATGCCAACCTTTTTATCTGCTGTTCCCAAGCTTTAGTTCAAAGATGTCCTTCCTCAGTTTATGATTTTAAAGTAGTTCACTATTTTGCCTCGTTAATGCCTAATACTTGTTAATGCCTAATAATAATGGCAGAGGCATTTCATCAATACCTGTATTTGCTATAAGTGCACAGTAATTACTCTTGAGAGTTGTACTTTCAGTACAAATGATGCACAGAATGAATTCTGCTGTAAACCAGCCTTTGTTCAAACTTTTCCAGTGTGGTCTGCACTTCCAGTTGGGAGCTTGATTTCTTTGAACTTGTGGTCCCCACAATCGGCCTAGACAGGTTTTGGTTGGTGTCATGACCCCCTGGTTGGAAACTGGTGTTCTAAAAAGCTTTACAAAGTGGTGAGCAAACCGGCTCAATTCCCCGTGACTGGAAGTGCGATTAGGCCAACGCTCGGGCTCAGACCTGCCTTTCAGAATCTGAGCATCATATATTGAATTGTCCTGCATGAATTTTGCTTCCGTTCCTCAGGGCACGAAATGGGAAGTAGAGTTTGTCCTGCAAGCTGCTGTTGCGCAGTAGCCGTCTTGAAGTGACAACTAAAAACGAGAATCACTTTTGATAACTGGAAGAGGCTGAAGTAATTTAACAATCTCTTTTCTTTGAAGCAAAGGAATTCTATTCCCCTTATAATCCAGTTAGCTGACATTGTGTCCAAGGTTTCTTCTTGTGCTGTTCTGACAGAGCCTACAAAGTTCCAAAAGCAGAGAATGATTTCTGCCCCTGGCTGAAAATGAAATGAAGTTCATTAGCTTGGAAGTGCTGGCTGAGACCTTGCTGGGGGGAGGGGAGCTGCTGTTGTATTTTTTATATCCCTTGTGCCATTTTGGACTTCAGCAGTATTTATTTTTAGTACATTTAAACACTGCAGAAGGAAGGGGCAGTTGTAATATGGCATATTTACATCATGCTGTCAGTTCCTGGCAGCTTACTGGCCTGTCGGAGAGCAGAACTAGTTCATAAAGGATGTGAGTGCTACTTATGCCCACGAGTGGTGAAACATCGTCTCAAGGGTGGGAAGGCCTCCCCAGACTAGCAGGTTGGTTTGTTTTTCTAAGGTGCATTATGGGGATTTTTTTTTTCATGTCACACAGACAGGAATGGGCCATGCTACCTCCCACTTTTTCCTTCTCCTCTGCTCTGTATAGGAAAAAGAGAGGCCAAGACTCTACATGAGATCAGCATGTGCTGGTTTTTCCCCTCATGTCACGCTTAAGTTCTCTGCCCCATTATAAAAATAAAAATCTATAAATAAAAAAGAACAAATGCTGAGGGGGACAAACTGGACCCACAGTTATGTGCATGTCGTCACTTGTAGAAGTGTGCCTAGCCCCATTCCTCCCAGACTTCATACATTCTCTGTTTCTTACACTGTCAGCCTCTCAGGATGGGAAACATGCACAGATAGTCCTGACTGGAGCTTTTTTTGCCCTGCCATAACATAATATTAATTGAGCTAAGGCTGAAATGTTGTTGGGCTCATCTGTTGTTGAATTAGCTCATGCTCCATTTATGTATTCCCCCCCCCCCCCCCCCCCTTTATTTGGGGACAAAAAAAAAAGTTGCTATGGCTAAAGCACGCTTTAACATCGCAGTAATACCTTTCTCCTGGAATTAGGCAGTGTTTAGGTCTGATCTCTCATATATGACATGCTGTCTCTGTTAGCTTCAAGCATAAGGCACCCTATGATTTTCCTTTCTTGGAAACTGCTCTGTCTCAGCATGTGGGTAGGAGGCCACGTAAACAAATACCAACCACTTCTTAGCCTTCAGTAGGCATTTCCTTTTTCTTGGTGGCTACAGAAGAAACACTTTCTCACAGTTTGGCATCAAACATTTATAAAACTTTCCTGCTTGTGGAATTTTTGTTTAGACGATCAGATTCTTAGTATAGTTTTTTCATCAGTTTCTATTTTCACTCATTTGTGGTTGCTTGGTTTGTCAGTAAATAGTGTCTGTCAGAACAAACACTTTATCAGAAACTTCTTAAATTTCTGGTAATTGAATAGTAAGTCATTATAAGCATATTCAGTAATAGTGCAGGATAAGTTTTAAAGAATAAAAATTAAGCTTATCTAGTTTTTTTCTTAGTTATGATGGAATAAATAATACTGATATTTCTACCCAAAATATTTTTTTTAATATATAACCTGTCTTATATGTTTGAAATAGAAAACAAAGCATCTTGCATTACCACGCAGTCCAGCTTTCAACTGAAAAAAATTATTTGCTTTTAATGCAAGGTTATGTTCTCCTGAATTTATATGCTAGGATATTTTTCCAAGTGTGTGTCACTTTGTCATAGCAGCAAAGCTAATACATTGTTACCTTTTAAGTGCTACCAGAACTATTTACGACATAAGTGTATAATATCAAAACAGATCATATCAATAAAAATCAGTATTAGAGGACAGTGTACTTCTAATTTTTAAACATAAATGTCTGATCTACAAGTTCTTTATTTAGTTTAATTTACTATTATTTATTTACTTTTTTTATTGGTGAATTATGAATTTACGTTGCTTAGTTTTATTTATCTCAGTGATACTACTTACTGAATGGATGACAGTATACTCTCCCTTCAGGGAGAGCCCCAAAGGTTCAGAGAGTATATATTCCCTGGAAGCAGAAATAGATATGAACTGTGATAAATAGCTATAGACTGGCACAGAAGTAGACTCCTTCATCGGAATTGTTGTTAGATGAGAGGGTGAAGAATATACGTATGTATGATCTTTTGTGGGTAATAATTTCTAGGATGGCTAAGCTAGAGGCAGTTTGAAAATCCATCAGATACGTTTTATGTAATACTCCCACACTGGATTTGATAACTTTTCTATTCAACAAAACAAGACAGTAGAAACCATGCTTTTCCAGGAGGGCCTTTGAAATATGCTTTTTCCTCTACTGAGGCCTGTTATGAAGCTGTCTAGGAAAGTGAGCCATTGTTGGACACGTCACTGTATTTTTATAGTTTCACTCTTAGGTACGTTCTCATCCAGTTTAGTTTTGCAATTTGCTGAAGTTTAGCCAAGTTGAATTGCATCTGCCCTCACAGTACACACATCTCAGTCTAGCTAGGACGACTTCCAGTTCTGTGCAGCGGAAGTTACTTTTGTGTATTTCTTCTGGGAAATATGTATTGAGAAAAATGAGTCCTAGTTTGTTTTTTCCCTTTTGCCCTCTTTTATAGCATACAATAAACTATTATCACATGCATATTTGTTCCTTGAGCCAACTACTGTAAGTGATGTCCCAGTTCACAATTCTCCAGCAAGTACAGCGGGTGCTAGACTTTGCGGCTAGTTCTGATGATGGCGAAACAGAGACTAGTCAGTCTTGCTTCATGTTGGCAGATAAGGGACTGTGAAGGAATCCTAAGCTTTCCAACTTCGGTGATTTATTGAACTTCCATAGAGTCATTGGGTAGCCAAATTAATGAGAACCCCATTTGGTATCCGCTGCACAAATTCCAGGGCATAAATCCTCTCCCCACTCCATTGCTGCCATGGTAATTGCACCAGCCTTAACAGTACCTTAATGGCCTTTGAAAGCTGTTAAACTCTGTATTGTGTGAGTACCCTTTTCAGCAATTTTATCGTGATGTGCAAAACCAGAATGGAGGTATGAGGATGCAAGTGTTGCCCCTCTTGTCTTTGGCTTGCTTCTACTTAGCATCAGATGTATTTGCAAAGGAAAATTGAGAGGTTTGCCCTGGTTTATCCATCAGTATGAGGACTTCGAGGAAGTGTAACACAATGGGAACAGTTAACAATCTTAGGGCTTTTTTGTTCTGACATCATAAAGTAGCTTGAGAGTGTTACTAGTCCTTAATTTGGAGTGACAGGAAGCAAGAAACCTAGAAAAGGTGAAATTATAGTGATTGTACTGTAAATGAGAATGTGCTGTAAATAAGAGTTGTGATGAAAATGCAAAAGGAATTGGCTAAAGCAAGAGGGAAGAGATCATTCCTCCTGTTTGGAGAAATAAGCTGGTTAGATTAGAGTCTGGGTTTGTTTGTATATGGTATATATAAAACCTCGATGATGGTATGATTTTGATTGATTTGTATGACACTTGTATTTTCCACTGGAGGGATGAAAATTTATCCCTGGGATCATCAAATGCCACCCCTAAATAATTAATAATAGTAATTCTAGATAGAGATGAATTTTATGTTACAGGTTACTCCAGTTGCTATGCAGACATGATAGAAGAGTTCTGTATTGATGAGACACTTTCATTTTAGTTAAGTCTGATCCTTTTCTTTTTAGAATTCAGAGGAATGAAGAATAATAAATGTAGATGCTTATGAGTTTGAGATGGATTTTTTTTTTATTAGGAAATGTTTTAAAAGGGTCAGTGAAAAGCAGAACTGGAATTGAGGTTTCATTTCTATTGCAGGTGTGTCTATGAAAGATAAGCAGATATTTCAGTTTTGGATACTCCTTTACGATAATAAATGTACTGAAGGCATTACTAACTAAACAGAGCTTGCTGAGATCAGGCTTCTTTGAGACTTCTCACATACTGTTGTTTTAATCTGTTTTTTTTTTCTAGGAAAAAGAGAAGAAGTATATGCTTCCTTTGGACAACTTGAAAGTGCGAGATGTTGAAAAGAGCTTCATGTCTAGCAAACATATCTTTGCATTGTTTAACACGGAGCAGAGGTAAGAAAATGTGCTATTCTGCAGATACTTCTATAAAACTGTACCTAGCTGAGCATTTTAATAACTGGGAGTGCAGTTCTGGTATTTCCACTATGTTGAGTGAACAAAGATCTTGATACTCTTGATTTATCTGCTTCTTTGCTGTTGCATAACCATGGGATGAAAGGTTAGTGTCCTCCTAGCCACCCATGGGGTGAAAGAGCTCCATGATTAGTCATCTAGTTCTGTATGACTGAATAATCATCTCCTGATCTTATTTTTGTTTTGTTTGGCAATCACCTAGGCTTACCAAAACATTCATGACTTCTGTACCTTATGACCAGATTCAACTGGTGTAAATCACAAAAACGTCATTGCTTTTCACTTTCTCCAATGGAAAATCTTGCCTGTCTGTAATCTTGGGAGTCATTCTATTGTTTGTTTGGGTTTAAATACTGCTGAATGGAGAACAAATGAGATTCCTCTGTTTCCTTAATTAATTAGAATCTTTGCTTTGTAGTGTTTGCCTCACACTTTTCCTTTCAGACTCCATCCTCTGATTTAACTGGTGTGGGTACTCTGTGGAAGCCTACTCCTGATTCACAGCCAATTCAGATTACTGTGCACAAGGAAGTTAAGGAAACATGACAACACTTAAAGACATACAAGTGACCTGTAATTTTTTTTTTTTTTTTTTTTTTTAACTGAAGAGGAGAGTTGTATTTGCAGCTGTCTCAGTGGAATTGCATTTCAGCAGATAAGGTGCAATTTCTGTAAGTTCCTTTTCAGGAAAATTAGTAAAATTAATTGTAGTGGTAGCATGGATAGATGCCCTTGTTTTCCTCTTCTCTTCTGCTAAGTCCCTTCGCAGCTCCCCCCTCGCATCGCCAAAGCTTGGCAATACATTCAGATGTTGTTCAAAATGATGAGAGCTGGATGTGGCTCCCTGCAGAGCCAGCTGTTGTTGCTCCTGAACTGGCCAGAAATAGTCCTTTCAGAAGCAAGGAATGCCCCTCCCTCCTGCAAAGCAAAAGCAAAGCACAGGATTTCTGGGCTGTCAAGTTTCTGCTGGCCCCAGAAACATGAGGATGCAATGTGAGTCTCCCTCTGAATTACCCCATGAAGGCTTTGCCTACATCTGCTGACATTGCAGCTAGCCTACATGTGGACATTGTCTGCCAGGAGATGCCCTTTGAAAGTATGTCACTCACATACTTGCTGGGAATAAGATTTCAAACACTTGACCACTTGCAGTTCTGGAGCACAGAAAAAAGCTTTGAAAAACTTTTCATGTTTTTAAAAACATAAATGATCTTCAGGTCCTGGAAATTAATGTAATTCTGATTATTCTGCTATAGATGTGTGTGAATGGTCCCAACATTGCACGTACGTCAGTCAAGAAAGATAACTTTGTCCTGGTGGCTCGATATCAGCTGTACATATTACGTTACTTCCATGAGAAATCTGTTAATTTTAACTCATTTTTTCTCCTTTGTTTTGGCTAATGGCTTTGAATATTTTCATCATCTTAAATATTAATCACTGACTGCTGTGAAAATCCAAGAGAAGCATGCATTTCCATTGGCAAATTTGGGATTTATTTGGGTGTTATATAGCTGCACATTCACATTTTCACTGGCTCTTCGTAGAAACTGGACAGCAAGGATTTCAAAATCAGATGTCTAAAATGTTTGCCATATCCGTAATAACCCTGCCCATTTGGGCTGTGAGTAGGCCCTCCAGCATCTGCAAGCTGCTCTAAAAACATCCTTATATCTATATGAGCATGTTAAGACATGACAGCATAGTGATGAGACGACAAAATAACTTTGCCTTGGGAGAGGCTGTTTATGAAGACAGTCTTCCAGCTTAAAAGGAGGCAGAACTTGTTCTTGAAGAAATATTTATTGAATTCTAATTACAACGGCAATTCCTATGTTACTATAAAAGAGCTAATTTTTGGTATTTCTAAAAATCTGCCTGCTGGTCCAAATTGGTCAAAATAAGTTTAGTATCACTTTCCACTGTCTCCTGAATTCATAGACTGAGTCAGCAGAAAAAGGGATATTGGGACTTGAGTAAAGTGATCTGGCCCTCAAATGGGGACTGTGTTCCCTGTCCCAGATTCTTAGGGAAACTGAAACAGGGAATCGGTAAAGATCTGTTGAAATAAGGCGTCTCGTCGTTGTTTTACTTTATGCTAATCCAGTTGATTTCTGGCTGGGGGGGTTGTGTGCATGTGTGAATATGGCTTGCTTTTCAAAATTCATGTAAAAATGAACTTAGTTTCTGGCTGGGTTTTTTTTTTTGGGGGG